TCTTGTACCTACCTCGTTATTTTACATGTTGTCTTCCTCATTAGAATGTAAGCTGTAGGGTAGGAACTGTTTTTTGCCTTTCTTTGCCTTTCTTTGTCCCTAGAACTTGGAACATTGCCTGACACATAGTAAGACCTAAATAAATACCTGTTGACTGAATCAGGGAAGAAAAATGACCAGAAGTCCCCTGCCCTTTAAAGAAAGACTACATACTAACACTCCCTAATGACAGAAATATTCCAGTGACAGAGGTGGGGGGAGGAAGGGAGAACACTGGACTTAGACCCCACAGGAGGTTCCTGATATTATACAATGCAACATTTTTTTTAAATGAAGCACCTACTATGTGTATAGCATTATGCTAAATCCTGGGGCAGATACAAAGTTTAGGTAAGGTAAAGTCTCTGCCTTCAACGTGCAGTCTTAGTAGAGTGATAACAGCACACAGTTGAGTCTAAGACACAATAACTGCATTGGAGGGTTACAAAGTAAAGTTTTTTGTTGACTGGTTCATCTTTTGGTTGATATATGAGGTCTCAAGAGGAAGGCTGTTACTGACCAGGAGAATCAAGGAAGGCTTTTTTGAGGAAGTGGTATTTCAAATTGGATCTAAAAGGATCTAGATCCCTGGTGAACTAAGACCATAGAGGAATCTAAACTAGTATTTCAACTTTGCAAGTAGCCACTAGTCCCCTCCCCCAAAGTGACTTAGTGACAACTTTGGATGAATAGTAAATAATTTTATTCATAAGATCATAGATTTAAGGCTGGAGAGAATCTCAGAGTCCATCTAGTCTAACCTTTTCATCTAATAAATCACTCCCTGGGTACCTCTTGGAAGGCTGTCTGTAGGGTCCTGTGAAATCTCTTTGTGGGTCAATGAATAGTTCTTCATTTTTCAATCTCTCAGAAGAAATTTATTAAGCACCTAGCATTTCCAGGTAACAAAGGATGAAGGACAGTCTGTCTGTATGAGCCTTCATTGGCCAATGATGGTAACTGAGTATGCCCAGCATCTCAGGCTTGAAGGGAAATGACCATTTTCTGCTCTCATCTTTACTCATGATTGTTCCCTTCCTTTTTTTTTTTCCCAGCCGGTCCCCATAGATGACAACTTCTGTGGCTTGGACATCAACCAGCCTTTGGGGGGCTCCACTCCTGTGGAAGGGCTCACCCTCTTCACCACCAGCCGGGACCGAATGACATCAGTAGCCTCTTATGTCTACAACGGCTACAGTGTGGTCTTTGTGGGTACCAAGAGTGGAAAGCTGAAGAAGGTAGGCACTTTAATGTACCCTAGGTATCATGGTGGGATTTAGTGAAAGATGCTGGCACCAGGATTTTCTGGAAGACAGCAATGGGAATGGATCTAACTATGAGCAACTAACTCCTACAGGGGAGGAAAGGATCCAATTTGTGGATTTTCCAGAGTTGGTTTGTTTTTTTTAACTTTGAGCTGGCTTCCTCCACAAACTGGTATGCCTCCACCCCCTACCTCCTCTTGCCATTATCTTGTGGGTTTTTGTTTGTTCTTGTTTTAAATATTTTTGTTGACAGCTTTTGTTTTTCATCACCTAAATTTCCCCCCTGAATCCCTTTCCATTCCCCTTCCCAGAAAGCCATCTTTTATAACAAAGAATTTTTTTAAGAGAAAAAGATCCAGCAAAATGCACCAATAAAACAAAAAAACCCTGATATTCTAAGTAATGTCCCACACCTGTCTGGCATCATCTTGCTAGTTCACCATTCCAGCCTGTTGAGACACTGAAAAAATCTTGATTGTGTCATCATATATTAGCTATTCCCTCCAACTTCATGGCATCCACAAATTGGATAAGCATGCAGTCTGTGCCTTCAGCCAAATCTTTGATAAAAATGTTGAACACACCTTCAGTTAGCGGATGTATGAGGAATTAAAACTCATTTTATTCCTTCCCTGAACTACAAAGGTACATCTTCTTGGAAGCTGGGGGACTAGAATCAAACAGAAATTAACACCAAATGGGAGCAATTTTTGTATGATCTGGTTTCTCATTGTGCAAACCATAATTGACCCCTTATCCTCTGATTAGTCTAGATAATAGGATACTGAATTCATCGATCACAAGTTGGTTGTTTTGGTTTGGTTTTTTTGAGAGCCTGCATGGATGCTGAGAAACTGATTGAGGCTGGGTAGGGCTTTTAAAAGAGTGGAGGTCTTGGAATCAACAGAACTTAAGTCCCAACTTTGAGAGTTATCATTGTGACCAGAGGCAGCCATGTCATCTCACTGAGCCTCAATTTCCTTGACTCTAAAATGGAATAATAATAACTTTAACTCGTAGCATTATTATGAGAATAAAATTACATTATGTATGTAAAGTGCTTTGTAAACTTTAAAGCCCTATATAATGTTAGCAGTTATTATCATTGTCACCAATTATACTACCACAAGTTATTGTGAGGAAATGCTTTATAAATCTTTAGCATTATATTAATCTGATCCAGTTCAACAAACATTTATTAAGGCCCTACTATACTAGATACTAGAGATAATGGGGTCAAGAACACACAGTCCCTTCCCTCCCTCAGTGAGCATGCAGTTTGATGGGGTGTTACAGGGAAGGACAGATAAACAAATAACCATAATACAAGTGATAAGTGCAAAGGAGGGGTCCAGGTAAAGTGTTAAGAGAAACTTTTGGAGAGATAACTTTCCCCCTAGGGAGGGAAGGTTAGGAGAGATCTGGGAAGAAACATTTAATGGAGGGGGTGGTATTTGAATTAAGCTTTGAAGGAAGGGAGAAATTTCAACCTGTGGAGAAATAGAGGTGGAAGGTTATTCTAGGCAGACAGCACAGAGCAAAGGTTTGGAGATTGGAAATGTAGAATGAAAATGGGATATGGAAAGTAGTGCAATTTGTCATGTGGAGTGTCTTACAGTGGATAGAGCACTGGCTCTGGGGTGAGTTAAATCTTTGACTTCTGTAGCTGTTTGAATTTGGGCAGGACACCGCCTCCTCAGGCTTCAGTCTTCTCAACTATAAAAAGAAGAGGTTGGACCAGATATTTCCTAAAGTCCCTTCTGGCTCTAGATAATGATCCTATGAAGGGGAGTAGAATAAAATAAGACAATTATTATCTCATTTTTCTCATCCATCATCATCATCATTATTATTAAAACTCATAATAACTATTTCAAACCATCCAGGGTCAGGGTGTGGTTGTTGGTGCGCCACTAAGCTGAGGTAGATGGGTATGCGGCCAGGAGTTTCCACCTCTCCTTCTCCAGCTAGATGAACCCTCAGCTTTACCCTGGGAGCCTGGGGAGCACACAGTCTGAGGAGCAGCTCTCCCTGGGCACAATGACATCACCAGCTGGAGAGTGCAGGATCCCTGACTCTGGCAGCCAAGAAGGCTGCTCTTGAGGCAGGCTAAAGCCAACAGCTTGTACCTGCTTGTCAAACATTTAGGGCTGGGAGCAGGAGCACAACCTCATTCATTATGTGGGATTATAGGAGCAGCATTTTTTCCAGTCCCAACTTAATCCTTCCTCCCCCAGACCCCTCCCCACCACCTGCCACTGATAGCCTCGGTGGAGACTTTCCTGCGTCTCCCTCTTTGAGGCTGACCCAATCATCTCTCTCTCCTCATGGCTCAGTTGAGGGCCTTAGAAGGGAAAGGATTTGGGAAGGTGGGGAAGGAAGGGTAAGGAACCAGGAGAAGGAGGGCAAGCAGGAGGGAGCTTCTGGGAGAATCCCTGTAAAGCTGCCAGAAAGGGATGAAAAAATAGATATGGGTTTGGCATGAAGGCAATGAACCTTCCATATCTTGTCTGGTTCATGTGTCACAGCAGAGCTCTCTTTAGCCCTTTGTCTAATCCAGGTGCTGCCCCCTGCCCCCAAACTGGACTTGTGTTCCTTTAGATATCCATGGAGGAAATACCTAGGAAATGTGCCTCCTGCCTTCCTCTCTTGAATCTGACAGCTAAAGCTGTTTTCCTAGCACAGAGCTGCCTTCTTTCCAGGAGAAAGAGTTCAAAGAATCTTAGAACTATAGAATCTTGGATCATCTCTCCTAGGGAATTTTATCCTGTTCTATGCCATGGGCCCCTTTGGCAGTCAGGTGACACCTGTGGACCCCTTCGCAGAATAATGTTTTTAAATACATAAAAATAAAATATATCAGATTACAAGGGAACACAATTATATTGAAATAGTTATTAATTTTTTTTGAAGTTCATGGACCCCAGGTTAAGAACCCCTGATTTAGTCCAATCTATTCATCTTGCAAATGAGGAAATCAAGGCCCAGCAAAGTGACATGATTTGCTCAAAGTCATACAACCATGATTAGAATCCAAGTCTCCTAACTCTCATCCTGGTGCTTTTTCTACTAATGTCAATGAGTGGGACCAAGTGCACCATTCTGGAACACATAACAATATGTAGCGGAGTACGCTGTGAGTGTGTTTCCTGCTATGCATCCAGTTCCCTCGGTGACCCTTTGAGTTGAAGAAAGGAAAGCTCAGGGTGCAGTAAAAAGAATACTGAAGGTGAACCTGAATTTGAGCCCCGGCTCTGCCAGCTTACTATCTGTGTGACTGTGGGCAAGTCACTTCCCCTCGGGAGGCCTGTTTCCTCTCCTGTAAAATAAGGAGGCTGGACTCTAGTGTCCTTTCCAACAGATCTAAAAAGCATTAGTGGATTAATCCAGAGTAGCGAGATTTGGCCACCCTGGTACTAAGCTGCCCAGCATCTGTTTGCTTTTTTGGAACACAAAGTTCTTTCTTATAAGGCATCTTTCCAAACTGAATGCTCAACTTGGACATGTTTAGCTGACTCTGTAGAAAACATGGCCCCAATATGTATAGACAAGTCAGAGGGTTCAAGGGTGGGGCAGGGGAAACCACAGCCTGTGGGGCACTTTCAGACACGTAAGCTGGCTGCCCTCGTGATATCGACTCTTCCTTCACACAACTGTTTCTCTGAGTTTGTCACTCACCTCCTTCGGCATACTCACCCTCTGCTTCCACATCTGCCTTCCAGGGAGCTTGATGGCTCTGAATTCTCAACCTTGTTCCTTACCCTGCCCGGTAACCACCCCCGCCGGAGGCCCTCCAATGAAGCAGCCTGTCAGGAAGCCCTGGAATGTCCCCAGGAAATGCTTTTCTAGTCCTGGCCCCACAACTCTTTCAACATGGAAAGGAACATAAAGAAGAAAATAGACAAGTGCGGGGGGTGGGGAAGCTGAGGGTGTTCAGCTTTCATTTCTTCCCTTGCTGAGCCATGCAGCTATCAGCTTGCTCCATGCCTGACCCATAGAAATAGGCCATCTCTGTGGGTTGACAAACTCAGAGCCAGGGAAACAGACTCACCAACATCATTACACTCTCTTCACCACTACCAGAAAGCACTTACCCCAGGCCTGACTGCTGAAGGTAGTCTGGAAGCATGAGCTTCATGGTGCGGCATCCAAGAAGGGTCCTCTAACATCATCTAATCCAATGCCTACCCCAGGAGGACTTTCCTCTCCAAAATCCCCAACAGGTGGCCATTTGTCCTTCAACTGAATTCATTCAGCATTCATTAAACACCTGCTGTATTCCAGAGGGACTAAAGATAAAGACAAAAACCAAAACGATTTGACTTCAAAAGGCTTCCTATTCTTGCAAGGACACACAGAGAAAGTAAACTTTTGGAACTCTCTCAAGGGTTATATATGTATTTGGATCATAAGAATCAGATATCTGGAGCTGGAAGAGAACTCAGGGGCCTTCTAGGCCAACCCCCCTCTCATTTTATACATGAGGAAACTGAGGCCTAGAGAGGTCAAATGACTGGCCCAAAGTCATAGAGCTAGTGAGTGGCAGGGCTAGAATGGGAATTCCATGATTTCCTTTACTACCATTTGCTGGCCCCTCAGCATAAAGCAGTTGGGTCAAATGGAAACACAGATCCGTGCTGGCCATATATTGACTGAGAAGACCCCAAATTAACAGTATTTATGTCTTCTCATGCTTTTCAATTTATTTTGTTAAACATTTCCCAATTACAATTTCATCTGGTTAGGGCTGCTGGGGGAATTTTATGCCTTTGTGGCAGATAGAGTTGATGCCTTTGCTCTAAAGGTTCGCATTCTATGGATAGTGGGTTCAGTATTTGGAATCAAAGGACCTGGTCCTCTTTCGCTTGTCATCTGTGTGGACTTAGGCAAGTGCAGATAAATCTCTGAGTTTTGCTTTCCTCATCTGTACAATAAGGGTGTTAGAAAAGGGGCTAGATGGTTTCTAAGGTGCCTTCCCTTCTAACCAGATCTTTGATCCTGAGAACACTTGGTAGAACTTTGAGAGAAGCAGCACATATAGTAGAAGGTGTGATGCCTAATGGAGGCCTGGTGTGATTCATACCTCTGACAAAAGCTAATCTGGGAGCTAAGAGGTCAGCTAAGTGGTGTGCAGTGGATAGAGTGTTGGACTTTGAATCATGAAGACCCCAGTTCAAATCCCCCTCGGATAAACATCTTTACTAAACACATTAACTAGGTGACTCTGGGAAAGTCATTTAACCCCTATTACCTCAGTTTCCTCACCTGTAAAATGAGGATAAGGACACCACCTACCTCCCTAGTGGAATCAAATGAGATAACTTATGTACTTAGCTGACCTTAAAGTGCCTTGTAAATATTAACAACTACTACTTCTTCTTCTTCTTCTCCTTCTCCTTCTCCTTCTTCTTCTCCTTTTCCTTCTTCTCTTTCTCCTCCTCCTCCTTTTCCTCCTCCTCTTCCTTCTCTTTCTTCTTTTCCTTCTTCTTGTCCTCTTTTTCTTCTCTTCCTCCTCCTCTTCCTCTTCCTTCTCCTTCTTCATTATTATTATTATTGAAAGTCAGTGGCACCAAGTCTGAGAAGGTGTCACAGCACTGAGGTTGTCAAGGAGGAGGACACAGATGAGAGGTGACTAGAAGCTATCCCACCAAAGAGTCTGAAAATCATGTCATATTCTACACTCATGGATTTCTTACTTCTGCAAAGGGTGGGGGTGGGGAGGTGTCTTCTGTGGTGCTTTGCTTGTTTTTTGTAATTCTGCAATGTTCACTTTCAATTTTTGTGGTTGCTGTTCTTTCTGTTTACATTGTTGGGTTCGTTGTGTATGTTGTTTTCTTTAGCTTTATTTACTTCTTTCTGTATCAGTTCATGGAAGGCTTTTCATGCCTCTTTGCAATCACATTTGTCATTTCTTACAGCTCAGTAATATCCCTTTACATTCATGTACTTCCTTTATCCATTCCCCAATTTAATTGCTTAAATTATTGTCCATCCTTCTTTTATAGATAAGGAAATGGAAGCAGAGCCAATTAAGCTCCAAAAGAGATTTGAACCCAGGTCTTCTTGACTCCAGTGCTTCATCTGATACTTCTTGTTTAGTCATGTCTGACCCTTTGTGACCCCTTGTGGAATTTTCTCGGCAAAGATGCTGCAGTGGTTTGCCATTTCCTTCTCCAGTTCATTTTACAGATGAGGAAACTAAGGCAAACAAGGTTAAGTGACTTGCCTAGGGTCACACAGGCAGTAAGTATCTGAGGCCAGATTTGAACTCAGGAACATGAGTCTTCCAGACTCCAGGCCTGGCACGCTATAGACTGTGCGACCTCTTGGCCTTCTATCCAATACTATTATTTCCCATTACTAAGGCTACTTTGCAAAGGAGGCCTCTTCCTTCCAACACATGATTCCAACATAGATGTGAATGCTGTTAGTCATGATATCTTAGAGACATACAGGAAGAAAAAAACATTTTTTTCAGTGTGATTTAATGAAGTTTTGAATTCAGGAGGAGCCCCTTCTAATATCTGGATTTTATAGGGGTTAGGGTGCTGGTTAGAAAGGTCTTAAAAATGCAAAAGTCCCCTTCTTGGCCCAGCTGGGTTAGAGATAGTGGCATGGAGGATGATGCTGACCTCTTGCCACAATCCTTAAGAAAGGGAGCTTGATATAATGGAAGGAACACTGAATTCTCCTCTAGAATCAGAGGACCTGGATTCAAATCCTGCCACAGTGTGACCATGCCAATAACAGGCTTCCTTTTTCTCATCTAGAAAATGTGGGGATTCAACTAGATGGCCTCGGAGGTCCCTTTCAGCTCTAGAACTCTAATCATACCAGTGCCTTTGTTTCTAGGATTCTGTGTTATGAGTAACATCTGATGGTCCCCGGGGGCATTTTTGCAAATTCACAAGCTTTGCCCTTTGAAAACACATAAGGGGAGCCGCCAGACTTTTGGCAACATCCCCTTTCCCATTAGCTAACCATGACTGAGATGCCTGTGAAATTCCTGAGGAAAATTCTTTCTGCCTTTCCCCAAGGAATAAACCAACACTAGGTCTCCGGTCCTTGGCTCGCAGGAAGCGCTGATGTCACAATCCTATTATTCTCTGCTTTGTAATCTCACAAACAATTTATTGAGCAAAGCTCCAGAAACTGTGAGTTTTCAGTTTTTATGTGCTGGCTACAATCTCCCACCTGAGCAGAGAGTATTAACTTTCCCAAGCTCCAGACTTACTGCTCAGGATTTCGGCTTTGGCCACCCCTGTGTATATTCAAACTGCTGGAGTTTGCCTCTTCTCATGTTCCTCACAGGCCTTACATCAAATTAGGGTTGTTATTACCCTGCCTCTCCTCTGCCCCCATTTCACAGATGAGGGAAACTGAGACCCAGAGAGGTAATGTGACTGGCCTTAAATCACATGGAGCACTCATGGCAGAATAAGAGATCTATAGACCGATCACTACACATTTATAAAGCATCTATAATGGTGTCAGGCACCGTGCTAAGTGCTGGCAATATAAAAAGAGGCAAAGGACAGTCAGTCCTTGCCCTCAAAAGCCACTCTCCTTCCTCTCCTTCCCTATGTGTCTTTGTCTCCCTCAGTTTCCTCATCTGTAAAGTGGGGATAACAACAGCACCTCCTTCTCAGGGTTGTTGTGTGGGTCAAATGAGATAATAGTTGTAAAGCACTTAGCACAGGGCCTGGCACGTAGTAGGTAATTAAAAATGCTTATTGCTCCCTCCCCCCTCCCCTTAACCACAAGTCGGGCACATAGACAAGTTTCCAACCTGCTGCTTGGCTCCGTCAAGAGGTAAGGGAGGAGCCGCTGAGCCGGAAGGAAGGCTGAGCTGGATAGAGAGCTGAGAAACATGCCATCTTCTCAGCCAGCCAGGCCGAACAATAGCAGGTCATTCCCCCTCTGGAAATGATTCATTCCTCTCTGGGTGTGAACTCTTGATTCTGTAAATAGTGAAGGCTCCAGGTCAGATTTTGTGGGATGGAGCTGGCTCAGTACCCCAGCCCCGCTGGCCCATACCTCTCCAGGATACCCAGCCACCCTGGGGGTAGGAAGGAGGGGATCTAGATTTCCCCTTCAAGCCCCTCCCACCGCCGCTCCCCCCCCCCAAGCCTGTCGCCAGGAGGGAGTGGGATAGAGATACTGAGAGCGCATCACTGCATCCCTGGTAATGAGTTTGGCTGCCTGCCCAGGTTCCTGCCAGCAATCTTGCTGTTTGTTTTGTTCATTTATAGGCCTCTTGGGTCTAAAGAGCTTGGCTTCTGAAAGCGGGTAAAGGCCGAGCTTGGTCAGCACAGGAATGGGACCTATTAACCACTGCCCCCCACCATCCTGAAGCACTACCCTAACAGGTGTAGAGAGGGGACGTCTAGGTTTATTCTGCTTCTGTCGTGACGAGGTGTCTGTTGAAGAACAATTCCCATGCCACCTAGGATCATAGGCTTTGGAGCTGAAAGGGGCCTTGGGGTCATCTCATCCAACCCCCTCACTTTAGAGGTGAAGAAACTAGGCCCAGAGAGAAATGACTTGTCCAAGGTTTCATAGCTTAGAATGTAGAGCCGCTTCTCTACCCAGCATCCCTTGACTCCAGGTCCATTAGTTTTTCCATTACATAGTCTTGTTTCTTGATAGTGTCCTTAATTATGGGTTTATCACTATCATCACTAGTAATAGACAGTGACATGGTAGATGGATATCTGCTGGCCAGGGGGACCCAAGCTCTAGTTCTGCCTCAGACACATAGGAGTTGTGTGACCCTCGAAGGGGTGAGGGAAACCCAGAGCCCTGCCTTCCTATCCCCAGTATAGCTGTGTCCTGGAGAGGACTGGGGGAGCAGTCCTGAGATACAGAGCTAATTCCACGGGCCAGAATCTGAGCCAGAGCCTTCATAAC